TACAGTGGGGTCTTGACTTGAGAACTTAATCCGTATTGGAAGGCGGTTCTCAAGTCAAAAAGTTCTCAAGTCAAATCTGCATTTCCCATAGGAATGCATTGAAAACCATTTAATCCGTATCTGCTCTTTTCCATCCATAGAAACTAATGGAAAGCTGCTATTCCACCTTCGACCACTAGAGGGGGATATTTTGTTTCTTTTTTTCTTAGGCCAAGAAAGGTTCAGGGAAAGCAGGGAGAATACAGTCCAGGCAGTACAGCACAAGGCAGTCTGAAGACTGTCTCCCAATCCACTCTCTAAACGCTGGGATGAGTGAGGTAGCAGACAGTTACCCTTTTCACTGGCCAACAGTTAACTGAAAGTTCACTTTTTGCACTTTCCCTGCCTCCCACGTGGGTTTTTTTCAGTTCTTAACTCAAATCTAAGTACTTAAGTCAAGTCAATATTTTCCTATGAGAGCGGTTCTTAAGTCAAAATGTTCTTAACTGAAGCCGTTCTTAAGTCAAGACCCCACTGTACTGCCTTGTCGTACTCCTTTCCCAATTTTGAACCAATCAGTGTTTCCGTATCCAGTTCTAACTGTTGCTTCCTGTCCCACATATAGGTTTCTCAGGAGATAGATAAGGTGGCGAGGCACCTCCATTTCTTTAAGGACTTGCCATAGTTTGTTGTGGTCCACACAGTCAAAGGCTTTTCCATAGTCAATGAAGCAGAAGTAGATATTTTTCTGCAACTCTCTGGCTTTGTGTATAATCCAGCGCATGTTAGCAATTTGGTCTCTAAAAAACTCTAATGCAAGACTAATTGTTGGAGGAAAGAAGCAAGCAATTTGAAAATGCATAATGGTCTTCATTGTTCAGTAAAAACATGGTTGTACTGAAGATGATACTGAGGCAGGAAGTGGTAACATATTATAATTTGCATTTTTACAGTGAGCTTCCACTTTCCTCAAGATACTAACATCTGCATTTGTTTCAAAACATGATTCTAAAATACTGTAACGAAAATGACACCTTGTTCAATTTTTCCTATCAGGTAAGGCGCGCATACAGCAGTTGGCTGAAAACACAAGGTATTTCCGAAGGCGGCTTAAGGAAATGGGCTTTATTATCTATGGAAATGAAGACTCCCCTGTTGTACCTTTGATGCTGTATATGCCAGCAAAAATCGGGTAAGTTGCATGGGGGATAGTCACCACTGAGCACTGTCAAATGTAGTAGCAATTGGAAACCATTCTCCTGCTAGCTTAGAGTCAGAAAATCATAGATGTAGAACAGAGAGAGGGGGAGGTTTTTTGCATGTTGGAAGACAGTCCTTGTGGAGTGTAAGAGAAAGTCAATGAGGTATGAAGAGCCTTTAGTTGAAGGCTAGAGGTGAGATTGAAGAAATACATTATGTTCAGAATGGTCAGTGGTAAAAGACAACAAAGATGCTAAAGAATGCATTGGTTGGATGTAATAAAATCAAATACTGGGCAAATTAAAAAGCAGCTGAAAAAAGCGGTACAAGATTGAAAATCATGAAGAAAGCTGGCAAATGAAATCACCAAGAGTCAGATATGACTGAATGGATAATTCAATTCAAAAACATGAGTTCTCAGGAAGTTTAGTTATTTGCTGGATTTTGCGTTATCTTTGTTTTTTTGCAGAACATGCACACACCCTTACAGCTGTACAACATAGACTTTCCACTCACTCAGGAAGGCAGATAGCAGTCAGGGAGGGAGGGGGTGGGTGGAATTCTTGATTGGTGAGCTCTCAAGCTGAAGTTGCTGTGTTCTATCAAAGAAACTTCCAAGTTTAAGTTACTAATCCATTTAGAAACAGCCTGCTAAAACACCACCCTCTCCCAAATACAATCTTTCAGCTTTGTTAGAACTTAATACAGCGCAACCTTTCTAGGAAGACCACCTCAGGACTGAACAAAAGAGGTCTTTGTGTGCAGGCATTCTCTTTGTAAGCCAAGGCAGTCAACAGAGTGGCTTCCAAGGCATTCTTTATCAAAGACCCCATTGCACCCGTGCAGTATAGGCCTTCAGATGCCACTGCTTCTTAGTTAATCTTGTCTTGCTTCCTTTGTAGTGCATTTGGACGAGAGATGTTGAAACGGCACATAGGTGTTGTGGTGGTGGGGTTTCCTGCCACACCAATTATTGAATCCAGAGCTCGAATTTGTTTGTCTGCATCTCATACCAAAGAGATACTAGATATTGTAAGTATTTAAGCTTGTCTCTCCTCTGACACCTCTAAAAACAGAACAAAGTCAATTTCTAGCTAAGATAAGTAATCATAGCAGTCAAACATGAAAGAAAGAAGAATAGTTTTGTTCAGTTCACATGTGTCCTCTTAATTCTGCTATCTTCAACTTCACTGTGTTTCCCTGCAGTTAGAAAAGAGCCTTGTATAATCTGAGATGGGCTGCTTTGCTTTGTAAACCTTGAGTGTTCCAAGAGAAACGTCTCTTAGCTCTGAGTCAGTTCTTTGGTGTGGTGTTAGGGAGCCTATATGGAATTGCCACATCAGTGTTACTAGCATTCTTCAAAGAAGCTGAGAACCTCTTCAAAGTGTTGGCTAAGAGAAAGGAAGCTGTATGAAGACATTTAAGACATTTGTGACTTTGTCCTAATGAAAATTAACAGCAGTTGTGAATACCACTCGTAACTGCACTTGGAAAGAGCTGAGGTGACATACTCATAAACATGTCAGTCAGAACACAATTAATGGGGTGTTTTAGGTTGCAGGTGGGAGCACTTTGTTTTTACACACCAAAGTATTATTTGAACAATATCAGACTTTGCTAGCATAGAAAAAGCCTGCTGGTCTTCAAAAACTTGCTGAGAATTTATACCATTGAATTTTGGCTTAACTGAAAACTATATTTTTTCAAAAAATTCTACTTTCTCTTAATTGAAATTCAAATTATTTAAAACTTTTTCAATTGAATGTACAGTGGTGCCCCGCATAGCGATGTTAATCCGTTCTGGATTAATCGTCGCTATGTGGAAACATCGCTAAACGGAATGGAAAATCCCATAGGAACGCATTATGCGTTCCTATGGGGGATAAACTCACCGTTCAGCGATGTTCCTCCATTGGGGCAGCCATTTTTGCGCCCTCGGTAAGCGAGGGCAGGGAAAATGGTTGCTGCGGCCATTTTGGAACCGCCGATCAGCTGTGTGAAAATGGGGCCTTTGGGAGGACCAAAGCCCCCATTTTCACACAGCCGAAGTGCTTGCGGTGAAAATACCGCAAAAAAAAAAACACGCACACACAAACCACAAACATAGCCCCCCAGTCCAAACCCACCTTCCAAAACCCACACAGAATTTTTTTTTTAAAAAAAAGGACTTACCGGTCCGAAGCCTCCGGGCACTCTGCTGGCTCCGCGCGGCCGGGGGCGAGTAGCCAGGGGCCCGGCCTGCTCTAGCCTCCCGGCCCTCCGCTGGTTCTGCGCGGTCGG